GTCAGCCTTCCTGCTCCTCTGATGCTGCTTGGCCTGCTGTGTTCATTCAGCTCTACACCTTGTTATCTCAGATTCTCCAGCATCTGCAATTCCTACTATCTCTTAAATGATCCTTCTGGGTTTTGGTTTCCCTCAAGTATGTTTCACATCTTGCCATCTTTCCCCACTCGAACAAAGATGGGATCTGTCAGAAATGGAAGTGGGACTTCTGAATTTGGAGTGTTTCACTAGCTATCGTTGAAGTATGCATGCCTTTATGTGAGCGTCTGTATCTATATTCACTCGAGTATGTGCAGTGTATGCAACATGTATGTGTGTGTCTGTGAGGGTGGAAGTGCACATGCAGGTTTACATGTATGCATGGGTGTGTGTACATGGGGATGGGTATGTACATGTGGGTTTGTGTGTATGTATGTCTGTCTCTTTGTGGGTGTGTATGTGTGTGCTTTCAATCACTGTCTGGGCTTACAGATGTAGAATGCTCAACTGAGTGAGGATTGAAATGCAGTCAATGCCAGTGGAATTATGCATGATTGTCAGTCTAGGAAAATGGAAAAAATCTTTGTAAATTCGTCAGTTCCTAAATTTATTTCTAAATGGTCATAATTCCAATCAAATGTGGTAAAATCAGTGTCCTTACAATATTAAACGACAGCCATTTGAAGACAATTCTAAACCTCTGCACTGGCAGCAGACAGTCTCACCAACAGCCTGTGTATTAGAAATTCTGATTTTCCATTCACAAATAGCAAAATTATGGTGCAGTGTGTACTTGAATGTCTGAAATACACACCGGGTTACTGTGGCTGCAGAGTTCATAAATCAGCCAGTGTCCCATTGATGGGGCCGTAGTCATTTTAGCTGCCATACTTTGGATGTTCATATTGTGTTTGTTAATGTTCATGTGAATCGTAAATTAAGTATTTATTTTTTTTAAAAGAAGCAAAACACTGTGAAAACTGGATATTAGAAATAAAAGAGAATGTTCTGGAAACACGCCTGGGCAGGTCAGACAGCATCAGTGAAGTGAGTAAAAGAGTAATCTTTCAAGTAAAGGATCTTTGGCATAATTCAATGCTACCTGACCTGCTGACTGTTGTCAGCATTTTCTGTTTTCAAGTGTCTAATTTTCAATGGTTTATTGAGTCTAAAAGTTTAAAATAAAGTGAGCTGGGGGCATCACTACTACTCACCGGTATGGTTTTCCACTTTAAGAAATTATGCACTTCTTGGAAGGTGTGTGGAACTACTGCCTGGAACATAATCCTCTGAGCTTCATTGCTGGCACCTTTGCTAAACCCTCATTTGCATACCCTCTGCTATAGCTTTGCTATTCTATTTATTGAGAAACATGCTGGAAATTCTTTCCAGATGGAAGCTGTGAAGCATACAGCAGTGGATGATTATCCTGGGAAACCCTGGGAGGGGATATGCTGAAAAGCTGCTCCAATCTGTGTATACAAGTGAAGCTCTGTTTCAAGATATCAATGGCATGTTTAATTGCTATGGTTGTAGCATGAGCTTCATTACACAATGTAATTAGCATATGTCTGATATTGCACTATTTTTAAAGGGAAAACCACACGTATCAAGTGATAGCACTCAAACCAGCTCAGCTTGTATTTTAATCTTTCGTTCCTCAAATACACCTATTACCATTCATGCTGGACACCTGCAAAACACGACATTTATTTATTTTTATACAAATGTATGCACATTGGCACCGAGATATAATGACACTGCCCTCTAGTGTTTTTATACATATTCCGATATCTGCTGTCAAATTTATCACTCCTAATTAATTAAAAGAAAGTATGTTGGCTGGCAACAGGATTTCACTAGCACCCATTTATGATATTGATGACTCTAGACATTGTGGTGGTTCTTCTTTCATATTTTCTAATCAACCTTTTCAGACGTGTTTATACACCTTTTAGAGCAGATGGGATTTGAACCTGGACTAAGGTAGGGACACTACCACTGTGCCATAGGAGACCTTTGTGATGACTCTTTATGTTAGTCAGATGTATCTGAGATTGGCCAGGCCTGTTGTCGCACAAGTTTCTGAAAAAAGAGCAACCGGTCTCTTTAAACATGTGCCTTTTCTACCAATTCTTTGCCATTGATGAATTAAAATGGCATGTTACAATCAGTAACATCTTATTTACAGCAGGTTGATAAGTAAGCAATTGCCTTCCCAATGACCTTTCAGGGAGGTTGAATAGTGAGTAAGAACAGGCCTATAAAAGTGTGTCATTGTTGCTATGGTGAATATTGTGTGCAATTTGATGTATATATT